TGGAACCAGGGATTGAACTCAGGCCCTTGCACTTGATCCACTGAGCCATCTCCCTGGCCCCTTTTCAGATTTTTGGATGTTTGCATATACATGAAATATCTCAGAGATGGGATACAAGTCTAAACATGAAATTACTTTTTAAATGTTTTTATTGGTATATATTTGCAATATAAATTGTATTCATCTTGGACAATTGGTATATAAGCATACTGAATCTTTTCTATTTATCATATTCTATGCAATACACATAATCTGAATGAGATTTTATTCATTCTTACATTGTGACAGTAGCCCATATCATAATGTCTTACATATCATTTTCCACTGTGGCATCATTTGGTCCTCAGAAAGTTTTGGATTTTGGAGCATTTTCATTTGTGGATTTTGTTTTAGTCTGGTGATGGAATCCAGGGACCTCTCAAGTGCTGGGCATGTACTTTATCACAAAATTACATCCTTAGCCCAGACTGCAGAGTTTTGGGACAGGGATGCTCAACCTGATAGAAGTGAAACTTACAGGAATTTGTTCCTTTAATACTAACTTCCAAAGCAAGTTACCTGCTCATCTATAATTCCTTTTGTAATTATCAGTATTTAATTAGGTTTGGCTATTATATGAAATAATATATATTTTTTCTATGTTTCTTTCTCTTTCACAGCTACTTCTGAGTGGAGGAGCAGACAATAAATTGTACTCTTACAGATACTCACCTACCACTTCACATGTGGGGGCTTGAAAATGAATAATAATTTAATTATGTAGACTCCATAAATAAAATTGGTACAGAAGATTATTTATATAGATGTAGAAAGTACCCTTTTAAAGCTTACATAATATTTTCACCCTTTATAATGGCTACCATTGCTATCTTTGTCTTCTTTGTGTTTATAAAACATGGTATGTGATCTGCATTCTCTATCTTATACAAACTCTTGAAACTAAACTTCAGTTGTACAATTTCTCTTTAAAGGTATAAAGTTTGAGTCGGACATGGTAGCACACACCTATAATCCCAGCTACTAAGGAGGCTGAGGCAGGAGAATCACAAATTCAAGGGTAGCTTGAGCAATTTTATGAGAACCTGTCTCAAAATTTTGAAAAAGCATATACGGGCCCTCAGTTCAACCTTTGAAACTCAAAAAAAAAAACAACTTTATTTAGCTATTTTAAATGAAATGCTTCATATTAAGGATAGGTCAGATCTTTAGAAAATGTACACAAATTTCATGACAATTAGAAATCTTTCACCTTTTCTCAAATAAGAATAAATTCTTTAAATAAAGCTTGTCTTAAACAGCCTACACTTTTTTAAACAGCATTTATATTTATGCCTATGTTGTAAACAAAAATAAAGTATCTTTTAAAATGTGACTTCCATCTTTTTTTTTTTTTTTTCCTCCTTTCCTTTTTTTGCAGGACTAGGGATTAAAATCAGGACCTTGTGCTTGCCAGGCAAGCGCTTATTCTACTGAGCTATCTCCCCAGCCCTGTGACTTCCATCTTTAGTGGGCCCATATTCCTGAAGCAGAGTTCTTATATCTTTATATGGAAAGTAACTTTGGTCTTATCATGGTACTGTATTTCAAAGGATGCTCCTGTCACAGAAGTCTGGGAAACATCTACGTCTGATTGCATTTGACAACTAAAATAACAGTGCATTGGGCCAGTTAGAATTTTAGTTCTCTGGTATGTAGAAGCCAGAGGAAATACATGCCTGGAACAGGGAACTTTTTTTCCTCCCTGTCTTTTTGAGACCGGGTTTCACTATGCAGTTCAGGTTGGCTTTGAATTTGCAGAGATCTTCCCTGCTTTAGCCTCTTGAGTGCTGGGATTATAGTTGTACAGTTGTGTACCACCATATCCAACTTTTTTCTGCATTTTTAAGGATCCAGGCTCCCTTTAGTGGTCCTCATTTTCACATAATGAAGAGCTCCAGTTATCAAATCATTTCTTAAAATGGAAATGCCAAAAAAATGAATGAGTAGCTAAAATCACAAAGTCCTTGTTTTTCTCATTTTGTGCTGACTAGTATAAATGTCATCACATCTCTAGTGTCTGCACTATAGTCTTTGTCAGAGAACAAAGATGAATTCATTGTTTCTTTTTTTTGTTGTTGTTGTTTTCTTTTTGAGATAGGGTCACTGCAATTCAGGCTGACCTTGAGTTCACTTTGTAGCTCAGGCTGGTCTCAAACTCAATGATCCTCCTGCCACAGCCTCCCGAGTGC